TATAACTCCGATTGAATTCGTCTGAAAGAAGAAAGTCACATACACCTAGGATGCTTTTAGGGTGAGTAAAACACGGGCTAATTTTCATTTTTGGGTGAACTAACCCTTTAAGTGCGCAGAGCAACCACCCAATAAAGCATTACAATAATCTAACCTTGAGGTCATGAACGCATGAATTAACGTTTCTGCATTTGACATTGAGAGCATAGGTCGTAATTTAGGTATATTTTTAAGATGGAAAAATTAGGTTTTACAAATGCTAGAAACAAGGTTTTCAAAGGAAAAATTGCTATCAAATTGCACACCTAGGTTCCTAACTGATGACGAAGAATTAACAGAGTAGCCATCAAGTGTTAGACATTGTTTTAGGTTATTACATGCAGAGGTTTTTGGTCCAATAATTAAAACCTCTGCTTTTTCAGAATTTAGCAGTAGGAAATACTAGTCATCCAGTTTTTTATATCAACTATGCGTTCCGTTAGTTTTGCGAATTGGTGTTTCATCAGGCCGTGAAGAAATATAGAGCTGAGTAGGGGTGGACTATATGACCAAAATCTTACTTCACGGTATGAGAAATTTTATTTCACGATAACGATATACAGTGGTGTGAAAAAGTTTTTGCTCCCTTCCTGTTTTTTTATATATAAAATAAACTTCTAATTTATTCAGCTACAGTAGGCTACAGTAGGTTTATTTAACATGTAGTAAGAAATAAAATAAAGAAATTGAATAGTGTATAAATAAAACACTGCACAGTCTTCACGGTATCAATCAAACATGAACTGATTCTTATTAAAGATCCAAAAGTGATTCAGTCAGGTGCAGTGAGTGATTAACATTAATAATGACAGACAGCAACGGGTAAATTAGGCTGCTGTCCCTTTAAGACCAACTGCACGGATCCAATATACTAATGTTTTTTAAAATGTGGGAGATTTAAGTAGGGCTCTCGCGATTCGACGATTTTATTCGACTATTCGATTTTTTTAAAATCCTCGACTTCATTTTGCTTGCGTCGACTAACCGGCAAAATACCGGAAGTGGCGCATAAAACACATTATTAGTTTCCAAAGGCTGCATGATATATTAAATCATAATTAAGCATAATTGTGAATTTACAAACGCTACGATTTAATTAAATAATTATATGCTATGCAGTTCTAATACAGTATATGCGCTTTAATTATTTACATGCGTGTAGGTTAAGTACATGCGTCACACAGCGGCTCCGTTCACAGTATAGTTTTGTTCAATAAAGCCATATGATTTCTTGCTTTTGATACTTTATTTGAACTCATTATTATTGCCTCATTGCTATTATATATGTATTTTAAGTAATTTTAAAGGCTATTGTTCACTTACATCTATTGTTATTACCACAAAAAAATTAATTATAATTATAGGGCCCTATGAAAATCCGTTTTATTTCCAAATTCAGTTTTTTTTTTCCATTTTCATTTATACTCTGTTTTAATGGTTAGATTAAATTTTATTAATCAAAAAG